ACAAGAGCAGGTCTGATTATGTCTTGCTCACCATTTTATCCCCAGCACTGTCCCTGACATATAGCAATTGCTCAATTCCTTGGTGATGAATGAAGGACGAAGACGTTAGAGAAGGCACGGGGGCCTGAACTGCTCCCTCTTACGTTCATCTCGCAGCAGGGACAGCTGCGGTGGAAGAACGCCAGGACTCACCCACTCCACGAGCATCTACAAACTGTCTTCAGTGTGGTGGGGGTGGGGGCGCTGGGCTGGGGAGACAGTGGGGAAGGCCACAGACCCAAGCCCTGTCCACGGGCTTCGAGTCCAGTGGCAGAAGCAGACTTTGAACTCCTAGTTGTCAGGGCCGGGAGTGTATGGGGGGGGGGGGGAAGCACCCTAGGGTATCCGACCCAGTCTGGGCGGTCAAGACTGGCTTCCTGGAGGAGGTGGGGTTTAAGCTGGACCCGAAAGGATGCTCAGGGCCTTGGCAAAGGGAGGTGGGCGAGGTGCGGGAGGGGCAGGAGCGCACTCAGCCCCTTGAGTCTAGATTTCCTAGACAGCGAAGGCTGCTTGGAGCTCCTCACGACATCCTGAGCAGACGGAACGGGACAGGGGAAGCAGCGGACGATGGGGCACGGGTAGGCACGTTCTGCAGGGATTAGTGAGCTTTGCCCACGCGGTCTTCCCCTCGGTGGGGGGACCCATCCATTTGCTCCAGCTCTTCTTGGTCTGGTGGAACGGGTGAACGGGTGAACGGGGGCCGAGGCAGGGCCTGCGAGGGCAGGTGTGGAGGATGGCCATGTGCAGGAGGCCAGCTGGTGGGACTGTCACCCACTCAGGGCGGCCCCTGAGAAGCAGACCCTGTGACCAGGGGTTCCGGAGCCGGTGGCCTATTTGGGAGGGTGTCCCAGGAAGCCAGGACGGGAGGGAAGAAGCCGATACAGGTGCATCCCGGAGGCTATTGTGGGCAGCCTCTCAGCCTCAGTCCTGCTGGGGAGCTCGAGGGGACAGCGAGCACCTGTCTGGGTGGTCCCAGCCAAGGGGCAGGGGGGCCAGGAGATCCATCCAATATCTCCCGTCGGCCGAGGCTAGTTCTCTGGCACACCCACCCCCACTCCTTGAGCAAGCTGAGTGGGGCTACGGCTGCCTGAGAAGGCTGTCAAGCGGTCAAGGGTGTGAGTGGGTGCGGACACCTGCCACATCGCCCGCGTCCCTACTAGGATGGCTCCTTCCCATCCCTCAGGCCTTGGCCAACCATTTGGATGGCACCCCAGCACGAGGGTCCTTCCCGGCTCTGCACCCCGCTCGCCCCTCATTCAAATTCACACCTTTGCGGAATATGTGCTGAGCCATTCACTTACGTCTCACTTCCCTTGTTTACTATCTTCCCCCCGACGAGAGTTTAATTCTACCATGCCAGACTCCTATTAGGTGCTCAATTAAAACGTCCTCGGAAGGAATGAATTACTGCCAATTCCAAGCTGGGAAGTTCTGGATTCTGAGGCTCATTCGACAGACATGTGATAGATGGGGCCTCTGGGGCACTGGGAGGGGCAGTGACTTGTCCAAGGTCATGAACCGGGGTGCTACCCCGGGCGGCAGAAGCCCCGTCACCCCCACCAGATGCCCGCCCCTCCGGGAACCCCACCAGCGGGCGGAGACGCTCTGGGAGTCCCTGGGGCTCCTTCCGCTGCCTGAGAATTGCTCTCTGCCAATTCTTGGTCATCCAGGCTTCCTTCTCCCCCTACTTTTCCCAAAAGCTGAAGAGCAAGCAGCTCAGACAGCTGTGGAGCTGGGACTCTTCTCTAGTTGAAATGCATTAATTTGTAAATATCTTCATTTATATGTAAATGCGGAGTCCCCGCGCCCCTCCGCCAGCCCTAATGGGGCCCTGCAGCCTGGAGACGCAGCCTCCTTCGGCACGGCTGCTCCGGGCTGCCGGCAGCTCTCCGTGATCCGATTAGACTCTCTCCTTCCCTTCTGCTTTCGCTTCCCCCAGGCTCCTCGGTGCGCTCCACCTGGGAGGCCACCACCGGAACCGAGGCTGGGGAAGGAAAGAACACTGGCCACGAGTCAGCACTGCTGTGTGACCTCGGGCAAAAGTCATCTCCCTCTCTGGGCTTCCGTTTCCGTCAGGCGTGAAATGGGCAGGGCAGCAAGGTGTGGGTACAGGATGAGGTGGCTTGGGATCCTGATGGGGTCTGTGTCGTTCCAGCAGGGAACCCTGGACCTCGCCGAACTTTGACCCCGTCTGTAAACCAGGGCTAGAGAAAACAGCAAATCTGCCTGCATGTACAGGGTTGTTCGCGGGGATTAGCAGAGGTTCAGGGCGTCTAAGGCGCCTTTATGAGATGTGAGGAAAGGTGGGGTTTTTTTGTTTTTTTAATGGTGGAAGAAGGAGGATTTTTTCTGGGCAAGAACAGGAACACGCAGCCATCGCTCAGCGACTGAGGCAGCGCTTTATGTGAATTAACCCGGGGACCCTCCCAAGGCTGGAGCGAGCTTCTTACTGTTGTCATTGCCTTCTAGAGACTGGGGAAACTCAGGCAGAGTCCCCAAGCCGGGGTGACACTAATGCAAGGTGGGCGGAGGGGCAAGGATTGGAAACCCAGGCCGTGGGACAGAACTCTCCCTTAAACCCCACAAGGATTGTACGAAGCAGATCCTACGAAGTCTGTTGACAGGTGAGGAGACTGACACAGAGAGGGGTGAAGGCCCTTGTCCAAGGTCACTCAGTCGGGAGTGGCTGAGCTGTGTTCTGGGAGAGGGTGGGGGGCCAGGGCTGCTCTGGTGGTCCCGGGCTTCCTTCTGGGTGTAGGAATCAGATGGAGGGGGGGGTTGGAAATGATGGGACAGGCTGTGGGGGGGGGGTGATGGTAAGCACGTGGGGAGGGCGCAGAGGGGGTGGGGTGGGGGTCTGGGAAGCATGGGGGCTGATCTGAATGTGCACTTGCCCCAGCATCATCTGTGGTTCCCAGAATAGTTGTTTTCTTGTCCAAAATGAGTTTTTCATCCGGACTGTAACTGGCTTGTCTTAGGTGTGCCTTAATACCTTAAGGTGCCCCAAATCCTTTTTGGAAGCAGGTCCAGGGGAAATCATATACGTCAATAAGGCATCTGTGCGGCCATCTGCCCGCCGCCTCCGTATCCCTTCGCGCCCACGTGCTCACCAGACCTGCCCCCGCAAGGGCGGGCTGGTTCTCAGCTCCTGGCACAGAGCCCGGAGAGGAGGGGGACCCAGAAAGGTCCCACCTTCCGGCTTACAAAGTGCACAGCAGATGATCATCTGCCAGATTCCCCGTGCCGGGCTGGGTGAGCCCTGGGCAACCTTCCCGTCCCGTTTTCTTATCTTACCCGCGGGGAGACTGAGGCTCAAAGGGACGAGGAGCATACGCAGGGTCACCTAGCCAAGGTGCAGATTTCACTGTGCACCTACTACGTGCCAGCCCTGCACACTGCTGCCTTCTGCCTGGGCACTGGGCAATGCATTTGCTTGTGTTGTGTGGAAAAACATACATACACGTGTGTGTGTTGTGTGTGTGTGTGTGTGTGCAAGACTATGCCCGTTCAGTGCCAGTCTTTAGCTTTTCATCAATGCAGCGGGACTCCCACCCCTCTCGCGGAGCCGTCCGGCTTTGGGGTAGATTTGCTCTGTTACGGCGGGGGGGGGTCGTCAGAACAAGGTGTCCTGCAGGAAGGCGTCTGCTTGAGTGGGTCCTGAAGCCTGGTGAGGAGTTTACCAGGTCGCCAGAGGGAGAGGCACACTGGGAAGTGAGCATTAAGGGTCCCAGATGTAAAATAGGACTGGGGCCTTTGGAAAGTGGCACCCACACACCTAGAACACGGCAGCGCATGGGATGGGATCTGCTTCCTTCTGGAAAGAGGGTAGGGGTAGAAATATTAAGTATCTCTGTCCCCGGGGACTCTTCCTCCCCAACCTGCTGCCGCTTCCGACCTGGGGTCCAGTTGTTTAGGGTCGGTTTTGTAGGTTTTACACGGGTAGGGATGGTGGGGACTGGGAGGGTAGACAGCTTTCAGGACCAGGCAGAACTGGCTCACATCCCAGCTCTGTCCTTCCCGGCTGCAGGACTTAGAATGGCTTCACCCTCTCTAATTCAAACCACCTGAAACTGGTTTGGAAACCCACTTAAGGGACTGCTGGGAGTTGGTTTGGGGAGGCACACGCCGAGGGCACGCGGCAGAGTGGGGATGCGACTTTTTTCCTTGCCCTTCCAGGGCGCTGCCTTCTGTGGGAGAGCTGGCCACACGGGCTTCAGGACCAGGCAGAGACAGCTCACATCCCAGCCCTGTCCTTCCATTTCTGCCCAGGACTTTGGGAAGGTGTGGCTCACCTCAGTGTCTCCACCAGAGAACCCAGCACTGGTTTGGAAAACCCACTTTGGACTGCTGAGATGGCTGGGGGAGGCGGCGTCCCCAGGCACGCCCCCTGCCCCAGCCGAGTGGGGCCTGCCTGAGCCCCTTTCCTGCTCTTCCTTCCGGGGCGGCTCCGTCCCTCAGCCTGGCGGTTCCCTTCCCGGCACAGCCCCCGCCCCCCTGGCCCCTGGCTCCCAGCCTCTGGAAGGTGATCAGAACAAACATGGGGCAGATAGAAGGAGCTGGCCCCCCAGCCCGCCTGACTATCCTGGCTCCTGGCCCCTGCTCCCTGCCCCTGGCTCCCAGCCTCCAGCCATAGCCCCGCCTTGGTTTTGTCACCTTAGTCCCATTTTGTTGCCCTAGTCTCAGGACTCATTTATTCCCAGCCCTGGCTCCTGGGCCCTGCTAATCCTTGCTCAGGTCTGGCCCCATTTTATTTCCCAGCCTCCTGTTGCTCCTAGCTCAATCCTGGTCGACTCCTTGTTGCATTTGGCTCTCCCAGCCTGGGCCACCACCCCAGCCTCCCAGCCTGGGCCTCAGTCCCAGCCCCATTTGGCCCGACCTGCCTCCAGCCCCAGCCCTGCCCTGGCCTGATCCTATTGCCTGGCTCAGAGCCCCTTGCCCCGGGTTGCCTGCCTGCATTTGACCCCTCACTTATTGTGGACTGGTACACCAGGTCTTCCTCCTCTTTAGAGGGTGTAGTTCTCCAGTATGCAGTAGTTGGTGGAGAACAGGCGTCAAGGTGAAGATCTTTGCTTGATGGTGCCGCCCGTCACCTACAAGACAGCACAGAGGCAGCTACGGGGAAGGCCTGTCGGCCTCGCCCCTTTCCCCAGACAGAGCTGATTGGACGCAGGACACTGGAGATTCAGGGCCAGGGCAGCCGACGCCTCGCCCCGCCCGGGCGAGGCTGCCAGGAGACGCCGTCACTGCCATCACCGGTCAACGCTCCCAGGTCATCCCCACTCTGCTGATGTGTGCTTCAGCGAGGCTCTGGAGCAAAGGGATCTCCCAAGGTCCCACTGGCGAGAAGGAGCACAGCTGGCTCTCCTCTCTGACAAGAATTTCTGGTAAATTCTGTAAGGGGTAGGCACAGAATGGCAGGGGAGCCCAGGCAGCCCCCGTCTGGGGATAGGGTAGTCACAGAGGGCTTCCTAGAGGAAGGGATGTCTAAGTTATTCACCTCTGAAGGAGAACAGGAGACAGGCAGCCTGGCAAAAGGTGGGAGAGCTCTGTAAGCAGAGGAGACAGCAGGAGCAAAGGCCCCGTGGTAGGAAGGAGCAGGCATGCTCAGGAAAGAGGATTGTGCCCATGTCAGGTAGGCGTGCCAGCAAGGGACCTCAACTGTCCCTGCAGGCGACGTGGAGGGGGTCACCTTGGATTCCATTTACAGGTTCCTTCAGGCTGTAGGGTGACGATGGTTGGAGGGCCTGTCTGGGGCAGAGGGCTCTTCAAGAAGGCTGGGGAGAACCCACTCTGTCACAGGGCGGAGGAAGAGGACAGCTTGGGGCTCTCCTCCAGCTGCCTGGGGACGGAGGAGGTCACAGGCCCCCACCTCCCCAAGCACACGGAGTGCCCAGAGAAGTCAGGGGACTCCGGAGGAGACAGGAAAGCCTATAATGAAAACAAAGGCTGTTCCGGTGCTCCAGCTGCTTTCGCGGCTGATTGAAAGCCGGACCTGCCGCCCCGCTCAGCCTGTAGTCACGTCTGCCGCCGCATCCTTGCCTGCGCTGCCTGCCAATGAGTAAGTGTTACTCCACAAAGCAGCAAGGTATGTTGTCACTGTTTCAATTATTTATCTGTTTACTCGGCTGCGAATTTTCACAGTTTTCCGCCTGCGTCAGCAACTCTATTATAGACCGGGAGCTTGCAGCCTCGCTGCTCAGCTGGGCTCCGCGCTAGCACAGCCTGCGACCGAGGCCATGCCTGGGCCTGGAGAAAGTGGAATTAACTCCCGCGGCTCTGCATGCTGGAGGCAGGGGGGCCGGCTGGAGGGCTTTCTCCAAGGGGCTGGGCTGGGGGGGGGGACCTGGGCTGCTTGGATCTGTAGCCTTCCTGGGAGCCCCGCCTGGTGCGGCTGGGCCCCTCTGGGCACATCTGGCTTGGACCACATCTGTCTGGCCCAGGTGGTGTGGATTACTGACAGCATTGGCTTAGGGGACACAGGTTCAAGGCAACAAGCTGGCTAGCATTATGGAGCGCCAGCTGTGTGCCAGGCACGGGTCACATCAATGCGTCACCCCACTCCTCACGGTCTACCATCTGTAAGCTCATGAGGAGTCAGGAGGCCCCTGACAGTCCCGGGACCCCCCCCAGGAGCCCAATGGGCAGGGTCAGAGGATGATAGCTTCGGAACCGAGCAGGATCAGTTGGGACTCCCTCTGCAGGGTTTCTGCTTACCCTTGCCAAGCTCAGGTCTCTGACTCTCCTCTGGGCTTATCTTCCTTCAGCTCATACTTTTCACTTATTTTTTTTCCCCTGGGGCTGTGCTCCCCTCTGAGGCTGTGTGTTTCCCCGCTGGCCTCTTCAAGACACTGGGCCCGGCTTCCCAGAGAGGATGGCCGAGATCGGAAGGACTAGGGAGGAAGAGGAGGACCAGGAAACCTTCAAACCAGGACCCTCGGTGGCGGTGGGGGGAGGGCATGATATCGCCCAACCCCCAGGGGACAGTTGGCCACGTGTGGAATCATCTTTGTTGTCACAACCGGCGGGCTGGTAGTTTCGTACTGGCATCTAGCGGCAGAGAGCCGGGGATGCTGTAACCAGCCCACGATGAGCAGCACGGCCCCAAAGGTGATCTGGCTTCCCCATGAGAAATGTGCCTTAAGCCTTGCTTCCTGCTGGCACACAGGGTCCCTGCAGAGGAGGCAGACAACAGGTGGCCCGTTGTGCAGATGAAGAAACTGGCTTGGAGAGGAAAGGAGGCCACGGTCCCGGGCTCCACGAGGCTCCCACTGGCAGGGCGGCCCTCTGGCTCCTGAGGCCCCAGGGGCTGAGGACAAACCAGCACCCCCCCCCAGTTCTTCACCACCGCTGTCAGCAGGAGGATGCCCGGAGCCCAGCGGAGGTTTGAGGAATTTTCTCCCGAAGTCATAAAAGTGGAAGGCGTCCTGCCCATTTGAGTTGCAGCCTTGCCTCTTCTCTCAGGTACTGCTTTTTATCTCCTCCTAAAATGCGGCAGCCCTTATCGTCCCAATCTCGAAATTCACTCCATTTTTTTTTTATTATACAAAGGAGAAAAAAATCTGTCGGTGAAACTGTCTCCACAAATTTATTCGCCGGGACTGAGGGTTTTATTACTAAGAAAATACACCTGCACCCCTTACATCGCCCATTCACACCCCAGATAAAGCACGGAAGAATTATCTGAGTCGTAAATCACTGTTTCAGGCCGAGGGACAGGGGAGTTTCAAGGACGCACCTAGTTTTCCTTTGGTTTTATTTACATCTTTTTTTTTTTTTTCCTGGGGCCAAGTCTGGGGCCTTCCTGTCAGCCTAGGAGAAAATAACTGCTTCCCATTAAAGCAGCTTGGGACAGCCAGAGCCCGAGGCTTGTGATGTCCCTTCCCTGGGGCTCGGGGAAGGCTCTGGAAAGGGACTGCCTTGGAATGCACCATCAGGCCCCAGGCCACGGGCCAGTGGCTATTTGCAAGGAGGATATTCTGTGGTTCTTGGTGACAGCAGTCCCTGAGGTGAGGCTGGGTAGGGGGAGAGGGGTTATCACAGGCCATGGGTGGGCAGCAGGTGTGATGAGTGACACCTTCTCTTTAATTCTGGAAACATGTTCCAGGCCTAAGACTTTCAGGCACTGTTCCAGGCCCCGGGGGAGAGGACGAACCACATTTTAGATGTGGCCACAGTCCGTCTGGTGGGGATACACAGCCCACAAGGACCTGAGACAGCAGAGCCAGGGAAAGTGAGGCTGTGGCAAAGATATTTGCCAACTGTGACCTGACACCCATGGAGGGGCCAAGGATTCTTCTGGGAGGAGGGGTGATCACAGAAGGCTTCCGGGTGGAGGTGGGCCTCTTCAAAGGGTGCTTAGTCCCAGCCTGGTGCTCCCGGCCTGTGGGAGGCTTTCAGGCAAGAAGCAAGGCTGATTTTCTCCACCCCCAGTCAAATTCTTGATTTCTGTTACTAACTTTCTACGCCTCGCCTCTTCAAGCCTCAGCTTCCTCATCTGTAAAATGGGATAATGCAACCTACCTCTGTCCCTCTCAGGAGGATTAAATGAGATGACATTTGTAACAGCACCTGGTGTGTGGTTATTTTTATGCACGCTAACACTTTTCCGGGTCATCCCTGCTTCTGGGTCCCTTCCCACCATCCAGAGCTAGGGCTGGAAGGCAGAACAGTTCTTACTGGGAAGTCAGAGGGTGTAGAATGTCAGTATGTGACAGAAGGGGGCCCGCCTGGCAAGCATGGACTGGAGACCTGGTGGGCAGGTGGGCGCGTAGAGCCGGGGCCCAGAGACTTGTCCGCACTCATGAGATCAGCCCAGAGAGAAAATGAAGGACGCTCTGAGCAAGCACCTGGAGGCAGGCTCGTCCCTGGGGCTCTGACACGCTCCTCTGGTGGCCATCGTGGCTTGGGACCGTGAGATCATGGCAGGCAGAGGACGGCAAGGCTGGTGGGAGCAGACAAGGTGCTGTCCTGGAAGGCCAAGGCCCAAGCAATGTGTGCGTGTCCCCTCCCTGGAGGATGAAATGCTTGAGTGTTCATTCGCTCCTGCGACAGATTTTCACCGAATCAGTAAATAGGTCCTTGCGTGTGAGCTACTCCTAGAACATAAACCCTACGAGGGCCAGACCTTTATCTGTCCCGTTCGTTGCTCTGTCCCCAGAGCCCGGAACACGGTACTCGCTCAATAAATATTTGTTGGATGAATGAATGAATGGAATTGAGTCCTTTCAATTCCAGGCACTGGGGTACCAGGCACTGGGGTACCACGAAGAACAAGGAGAACACTCCTTGCCCCAGGATGGCCCGCTGTGTCCACACCCCGATCTGACCGCGGCTGCCTGGTGGGAGCGGGCTGGTCCAGCCGGGAAGTGGCCTCGGACCGACCACGAGGCAGTGATCCAAGGGGGATCAGCAGGAACCTGAGCTGTGGTTTCTCAGACGTCCACCTGCTACAGGAAAGCATCCTCCTTGTGCAAAGGGCCCACTTGGACAGCAGAGAGGAGGCTGTGCACACACTTCGGCAAAAGCATCCGAGTCCGAACTGGCATGTACCCGGCCTGCCTGTACTGCTCAGAAGGGACGTAGGAAGCAGAGACCCGGGTTCTGCCTCCCACAGGCTGGCCTCTGCACTGCTCCCCTCTCTGGGCCTCAGTTTCCTTAAGTGTTCAACGAGGACATGTGCCGGGTGACTTCTGAGGACCATTGCTACTCTGAATGCCCAAATGCTCTGGTGCTAGAACAGCCCGCCCTGGAGACCACAGCCACTCCTGCTCTAGCCTTGCCCTCCAGGGCTCGGCAGCCGCCCACAGGCCCCGAGGCAGCAGACCCTGTCCCAGGGCGCTGGCCGTCCCCCAAATCCGGCAAATCTGGCTTCAGCTGGGTTGGGTTGATTTTCAAGCGAAGCCACCAAAGCGTGGCAGACGGGCTCAGTCCAGCCCGTCGCACGGCCGGCCGGCTGGGATTTTTCATTTGAGAAACTAATGCCTCCAAGGACACCTCCTCACCCACGTCCCCAGGTGCCATCATCCGGAAGAGAGGAAAAAAAAA